GGCAGGGGGTCAGGCTAGATGATCTGTTCAGGTCCCTCCTGACCCTAGCTACTATGAAATTGCATAGATACACCCAGTGATTCCAAAAGCCTTTGTTAGCAAAATTATCAATAAGCACAACTGAAGCACCATGAGTTGAAATTTACCAGTTGCTACAATTACCAATTATATCAAGTTCATTAGTGCTGTTGGGGTTTACCTTGGGTACCGTGCATAAATGCAAGGCTATTTGTATCTGTTAGCACTTTCAAATATTGCTTTTATTTTCCTAGTGCCGTCTGCATGTCAAGAGCCCCACAGACTTTGAATGGCTGAAACAATGCAGATTTTACTTTAGTGAAGACTCAGATAAGATGGTCATAAAGATCACTGATGTGGGCTTTACATACCAGAATGAATTCTTAGGCTGTACTGACAGACTTGTCATAACACCACTCACAGACAGGTGAGATAATTTGATTTCCTTACACCCTTACTTTAAAGCTTAAAGGCCTGGGCTTTCTACTTCAAGGCTCATTGTTGCTCATTTGTTGCTGAAGTCTGTTTTGAGTCTCACTGTTTTCTTAGCTTTATGGGTTTGTATGGCATGTGATAAGTTAGAATTTTGTGCTTGGACCTTGATTAACATACAATGCTGAGAAAATTCTGCAATATGCCTTTTGTGACATACTTTTCCATAGAAAGTAGATCTATTAAATATAACACAAATAGTACAGTTGAGTGGGAAAGACCAAATTAAATGCTTCTTGTGCAATTTAATCTGAATCACAGTTGTTCTGCTTCCACAGGGATCTTTCTTTATAGCTATATTGATGGGTTTAATAGTGTGTCATCCTTTGAAATAAATTAGTTAAAAATATCTCTTATTTGGGCTTAAACATAATGGCTGTCACTTTGTCAAATTTAGATTTTGGAATTTGCCTTGGGTGACATCATACATAATTAGGAATTATGATGTGATGACACAGTGCTTTAAAATGGCCATGGAGAAGCACCAAAGATGACTGATGTGGGAATTGTCCTTCAGATTGATTGGCAGATGTGCCTCCCAATTGAAAGGGACATTGAATCATGTTAATTTAGTGCTTTCCCTGGGCACATTTCCAGGTCCAGTTTGGGAACAATTTAAAAGGATGCAATTCTCAGTGCGATTTATAAAGCAGGCATAGGGCACTGAATGCTGCACTGTAGATACTTAACAGTCTGTTGCCTTGTAGATGTTATATTACTTTGGCTCAAGCCTTGGGGATGAGCATGGGCGGAGCACCTGCTGGGCCAGCAGGAACAGGGAAGACCGAAACTACCAAAGACATGGGAAGGTGCCTTGGTAAATATGTTGTGGTCTTCAACTGTTCAGACCAGATGGATTTCCGAGGACTAGGGAGAATTTTCAAAGGTGAGAATTGCCCAGTTAGAGTTCTCTTATTCAATAATACCTTACAGAATAGGAGTATGCATGTGCTTTAGACTTTGGGCCTCAAACTTATTTCAGCGTTTCCTGTTTTTTAAAATAATGAAATACTTTTATAGAGACAGTTTTCAAGGACAAGAGAATGGCTATTCTTTATTAAGAAAAGGTTCCAGTTCAACCCAAATCTTTCTTTTGAACTTGTGTGAGTTAAGGAAAACTGAGAACTAATTATATTCCTAACACAAATGTCAATCTGTATTAGACAGGAACAAGATCAAAGCATTTATTAAAATAATGTACATTATGCACATTACCATGTGTAAGAGCTAAATAGTGGCTGTCTAACCTGTTGATAAATTCATGGATTCTGGCTCACTATGCCAGCTGATGAAGAATTTAAAATGCTTATGTTGCTTAAAATAGCTAACAAAAGTGAGAGACTCTTTAATGGTATTTAAATATTATTCTTAAATACTAAGAACAATTATTTGACATGAGTAGAGACAGAAGGGAGTGTAGACTGTGTTTTTCCTCACCTGAAAATGATGGCAGATGCAAAACCGAGGATGCACTTGAACCCTGAATATTCACCTTTTCTTCTTTTTTGAGAGTTACTGTGTATTAAAATGCATCTTAACAAATATTCATAGTATCATAGTATAATATTTACTTGGTTATTCTGGAAAAAACGTATTTCTAAGATCAGGCTGTCCTGGAACCTTTTTCTCATGTAAAGAAAATTTGGTGGTTCATTCCTTTTATCTGAGTTGTGTACTATTATTATGGCTGGAAACTGGTAGCTTTAACAGTTACCTTTCATTTATTGATGAGTCTCATGTTTATGGATCAAGATTCCTGAAACAGGAGAAGCCATCACTTTGAAACCATGCCTGACTGATGGATTTTGATGGGCATTATCTGTCCTGGGAGAGAATGAATTGGAGACCAAGGATATGACCTGGACAAATACTGGGCCTGTAGTCCAGAGAGAAATTCTGGTGCTGGGTATTAGCTGAGAGAGGCTTGGAACTATGACCAAACAAATTTCTCCCACTAGATTCTTTCTTAGTTCTTGGAAATGGGACTGCTTAGTAAGTAAACAGAATTAATTCAGTTTATCTGCTTTCACCATTAGTTTCTCTTCCCAGTCAATACAACTTCTAGAGTCCATGCATTTAACATTGCAGTGTTCAGAAGCATAGTGGTATTTTTCTCTTTAAGGTCTTGCTCAGTCTGGCTCATGGGGCTGCTTCGATGAATTCAATCGTATTGATTTACCAGTATTATCAGTAGCTGCACAGCAAATTGCGATCGTGTTGACTTGTAAGAAGGAACGTAAAAAGAGTTTTATTTTCACTGATGGAGATAATGTGGAAATGAATTCTGAATTTGGAATCTTTCTAACTATGGTGGGTAATCTGTGGGGTGTTTGGAATTTGTCATTGTATACTGGTGGCATTTATGGTACTCATTAAACCCCTGATGTCAGTGTCACCTAAGCTGTTAAAATTCTGTTCCTGTTTGAGAAGGAAAACTGATTATTTAGCCAGTATACAGGGTTGAGTCTCAGTGACTGCAGATCAAATGTGCCAAATTAACTAGTAACCAGTTTATTCTAGCAGTCAGCCTTGCAAATTCAGTTTGGGACCTGAAAATAATTTAGTAATGGACTTTCACATTTATAATCCATGTTCTGCCTACTAAATTGTGGCCATTGTCTGCAATATGGCAACTTTGAAGTTATTTTTACAGATTTAACTGATAAACCTGGCTAATTGTAGTGACTCAAGAAAAATAAAATCCAGCTTTCACCTGCTTAGCTTTATTTGCTTTCAGTACTAAAGGGAGTAAAAGTGCTAAAAATCTGTAATAAGTGATGGAATACAACTGCTAAGGCACTCATAGAGTCTGGAGTTTTTTTGTTGTCTGCCTTAGCCAAAACGAAATTGATCATGTATAGAAAGTCTTGTATTAAGCTCACAACACAGTTGTAATTAAATATTAAAACACATCTTGCTTAACTAAGTCCAGATAGTTTATCTTTCTTCTTACATACCACAAAGCCAACTTTAAACCTTTCTCTTCTCCTCAGAACCCAGGATATGCTGGACGACAAGAGCTGCCTGAAAACCTGAAGATAAATTTCCGTTCAGTAGCAATGATGGTTCCTGATCGTCAGATTATAATACGGGTCAAGATGGCTAGCTGTGGTTTTATTAATAACATTGTACTGGCAAGGAAATTCTTCACTCTGTACAAACTGTGTGAGGAGCAATTATCTAAGCAGGTGAAGCTGTCAGAAAGCTGTCTCTTTTTAATAACTTTAATCTGGCACTTAATATCAGAGAGCTATGGAGCAGAGAAATGGGTCTATCAGCGTGATTAACACATACTAAACCAGAAGGTCACTGAATGGAGTTTATTATCCTTTGGGTTTAAAGTATTATGGGTTTCTTTGTTTTTGTGAAGTAAGGTGGCTATCATTTGACAAAAGATTACTTAGAATTTGAATGGGTATTTGGTGGGTTAATACCAGTTAATCACATCTTTAGTAACCCAACCACACATCCATTTAGTTGATGGCATGATAAAACAAGGAATAAGCCACAAGTTGTTACATAAAAATCTATATAATAATTTTGTGGCAGGTTCCCATTCCCCCATAAATTAAATATGGGGCCATCACTGGAGCCAAGGGCTACCTGTACATGTGCTTGGAGGTAGGGGGGCATTTTTAATTAGAGTGGTTCCTGGACAGCCACTCTAATTAAAGCAGCTCACTATCAGATGTATTAAGTCCCTGGCATTTCACAGTGGCCACAGAGGCACTTTAGCTAAAGGTCATTAAATGAGGTTTAGTGAAAAGATCCCCATGGCCATTTTGAAATTCAGGGGGGCTTAATACATGTGACAGTGAGGTGATGTTGGAGCATTCTAATAAGAATGTGGAGCAGATTTAATAAGGATGTTTATAGGCAGTCAAGGGCTCCATGTGCTCCTGAAGCTGGGTGTCCTGATTAGTTGACAGGTACTTCCAGCCTTAGAAGTATCACTTGCCAGTACAGAGGGAGCCCAGGATCATGACACTGGGCTCCTCCTGCACCAGCAATATGGTGCATTTGGGATCTGATCTGTGATCCCACAATCGCACCTCCTGTCATGCACCTCTGGCAAAGCAAGAGGCATGATGATTGAGATCATAGATCAGATCACATCATGCCTTTAATTGAACATCTGTCAGCAGCTGAAGTAGCACTTCAATGTTAATATACTGTTACTGTAAGGGGCAACAGAAAGGATTTTTTCAGTTTTTGCTGCCTTGGCTATATTGTATGTTTTGAGGAGTTTCTCCTGGATGACCCAATGTATTTCTGAGAACCAGCCCTCAATAGTGCCTGAAAATAATTGTCTTCTCCTATCAAACAGACTACACAATAAATCAAAGGATCTATGGAGATAATTTTCAGGGCATTCCTATCTCTGCCATTAGAAGAGCATGAAGTAACATTACTCTTCCTTATGGGATTTGTCTTGCTGTCTGTGGAATTATCAGTTTGCATTTAAACAAATAAAAGTCCTCCCCCCATTCCAAGGCCTGAATACATGGTCCTTGATTAAAACAGTCTAGGAAATAAGTGGAAGATGTACACAATCCCATTTAGAATCATTCTTCTATGAAAATGTTGGATTCTAGCTGTTGGCATTGACAGATGGCTCCATATAGGCAGAATAAAGTAAAATGCTTTCCTGGGTGTCAAATAAATAACTTAAACACTTTAAATATGGGGGAGGAGGAGGGGTGGGAGAAGGGAAACCTTATTTCACTTGTTCATTGTTGTTTACATATTGCATATCTCTTAGCTAGAAAGCAAAAGAAGTACTTTGTCAAAGTGTGCCCTGGTAAGAATTAGCTAGCTTGCTAACCTCTGCACAAGAGGCTAATGCTTTTTTTTTTTTTTTTTGCTTCACCTCACACAATAAGATAATGGAAGAGAGTCCTACGTTGAAGTGCAGAACTGTTCTCTTAGCCTACAGGAGCAGTTTACAGCAAAATAAATACTGATAGATTAAAAAAAACAAACAAACAAAAAGTTGATGTTACAGGTACTGTGACCCTTTTCTGTTGCATGAAAGCAAACCTGAAGGCACAATAAAAATACGATATTTTCATGCCAAATGCCCCCAAATGACACATGCTCCTTATTTTTGGAAGGTAGAATGTAGAAAAAAAGATTTTTCCGACTGGCCGACTGTGTGCATGGTCGACTGTGACACAGAGCAAGTCCTCTGGAAATGTGGTATCCCAGGAGACAGCCTAGGTGACACAGCAGGAACTTCCTGGTGTGGCAGGATAGCAACAAGGCTTGATCCCAGACCCTTGCAAGGGCAGTAGCTAGATTATTTCCTGTAAATAAGTCTTTAAGTTCCTGTAAATATTAATGTGTTGTTTCTACTCCATCAGCCTCATCAAGATACAACTGCAGACTGCATGCAGCCATGCACTTGCCCTGAGCAAGCTCAGTGGCTGCTTCAGGCACAAACTACAGTGCCCAGTTAATTGCTACAGCTGCAGGCGGGTAAACACTGGATTTTGTCTCTTGTTTGCTGGAGCCACCAAGAAGTGGCAGCCATCCTGGCAGCATTAGAATGCAGTGTCTTCTGTACTTCTGTTCCTCCCTGCTTCTATTCCAGTAAAGTGAAATCAGCTTCTTCACTTAAGAGACCATCCTTATTTTGGAGGGCAGAGTTGGGGTCGAGGGGGGAAGGTGCCTGTTTGCTGAGGTGTACTTTCAACTCTAATGTCCAACTCTATGATCGTTATTCAAGTTTGCAGAGAGGTTATTTGCTTAAAAAATAATCTACCTTACATCTGCGAGTTACAATTCTTTTGCATGTAATTGTCCTCTGAGGGAGAGGACGACTCTTTTTGGAGATTAATATTACCACTGTTGAGTGATACCATTTTACGTTTAAATAAAACCCAGATTTTTGTGCTTTCTGGAAGTTGTCATTGTAATTTCCATTTCCATTTGAATAAATGGACAAACTGCAGCATGAATGAGATGAATGTTTTTGACAGTGTGACCTTAGAAAAGTTGAATCTATGTAGTGAATGCAGTAACATAGCAGTAACTGTGGAGGAGCTCCAGAATTATGTTGTTCTTGTTAAATGAATTGTTCTCCTCCATAGGGGAAATGAGTTGCTTAATGAATTTTGTTAACTTCTGATACTTCCTAGGTTCATTATGACTTTGGTTTGAGGAATATTTTGTCAGTACTGCGTACACTAGGAGCAGCAAAAAGAGCAAACCCCACTGATACAGAATCTACTATTGTCATGCGAATATTGAGAGACATGAACCTTTCTAAACTTGTAAGTTTCACATATTTAAACCATTTGTTTCATAATTTGTCTTTTGAGTCGAATGCTTGGAAATACTAGTAAACTGTAAGGTGGGAGAATGTGCGTAACAATGGCTTAATCAACAGATATATGTTAAATTTCTCAAGGTTAGTTTAGAAATACTCTTTCCTCTCCTGTTGGCATCATTTAGTTTTTACCTTCCTTACTGTTGATGGGTACCTTTTTACACTTCTATGGTTTCAGTTATTACTTCTAGGTAGTGATTCCAAAATTAGCTACCATATACCTGATTTCCATTTCTGTCCCCTGTTTAGTGTTTGGTTTGGGCTTTATCTGATGACATTTGAAATGTTGGCTGGATAAATAAAAGCTATGTGATAAACTTCTGTTAATGTCTTCCTAGACTTTAATTCCTTTTGTCACTTGCAACTTACGTGACATAATACTCTTTTCTTTTCCACTCCAGATTCTGAGAAAAGTCTGTCACTTTCTTATCCGTTGTATTGAGAAAATTTTGTCCCCTGTATCGTAGCAAAATGGAACCCCAGCTCTAGATCTCTCTTCACAGTTTGTCTTGGTCTGTCTTGCACTGGAGGAGTCTATGAATTTACAGGCTGATAATGCCTTTTCCTTGTGCCAGATACCCTCAGAGTCCAACTATCTCGACTTTAATGTGTTCAAGTTATTGGAGTCCATGATGCAGAGCAGGATTTGACCCTAGTGCACCATTAATGAAAGTAAAATGGTTGTGGCATTCATTTAATCTTTTTTTCTATTGGTTTTGTAGATTGATGAAGATGAACCATTATTTTTAAGCCTGATGGAGGATCTGTTCCCAGGCATTCAACTTGATAAAGCAGGTTATCCAGAACTAGAAGCTGCTATTAACAAACAGGTAATGATTCTTTTAGTGCATAGCCCTATGACTGATGAAAGAGAGAGTGATTATTTGTGTGGTATAAACATGGTTGGAATTCCTATAATAAACACTATTGAAAGTTTGCCCACTGCAAGAATGAGTTTCTTGAATGAGGGGAAAAAATGGTTGTAATGTGCTAGTGAGCCTTCAGTATTGTCACTTAAATTCTTAAACACTAATTTTCAGGGACAAATTAATGGTTGAAATTTGTAAATCTTGGTCAGTCTTAATTTATTTTTGGGCAAGTTTAGCCAAGTACTATGATTAGTGTAGAATTTTTTTTTTTCCCACAGTCAACGTGTTAACCCCTGCCAGGTAACTCAGACTCTAACTGGCGCATATGTGCTCCTCAAAGAGAAAAATAGGCTTTGAGTATCATTCATTCAAAAGAATTGCTGTATTGTATTACTTCCCAATGCTACAACTGTTCCTCCATTATGTAGTCCAAATTGTGAAAAATAACTCTGGAAAGAAGCTAAAATACAACAACACACTTCTGACACAATATAGTGTTTTTGTTTTGTTTTTTCCCCACCAATTTAAATCCTGAACTCTGCACATGTAAGTTTGACTTGACTAGATAGGTATATTTTGAATATAAAGATGATAAATTTGGTTACTTCATACTACCCAATAAAAGCACATTACAGTTCAGAAAAGAGTAGAGTAGAAGAAAATTAGAAGTAGGTATTCATGCAATTGCAATAATGAACTGTTAACCTAGTGTACAATGTACTTTGTCAATTGGAAAATGACCAGATATGTTCTGGCCGAAAAGTCTGAATTGAACAAAGGTCTTCTATAAATTTTGAGCACTATGCCCATTAGTCTCCATTGTAAGCTATCACGAGAGTCCTCATCCAATGCAGCCTCAAGATTGTGAATGGGAATATGAAGGGATAAGTGATGTACTCAATTTGTTGTATGAAAAGAAATAAAATAGTAGCCTTAAGGGAAGTGGCCCAGACCAGACTCTGGAGATAGTGTGACTTCTGAATTTGGTAACTTAGTGGGCTTAGGATATAAGCTATCTGGGTGTGCTGTCTATTGAAAATGCAAATTCAAAGCAATCTGGCACTTTGGCTCCAGTTTATTGGTGAGGAGTGGCTTTAATATTTTCCAGAAATTGGCATTCGGGAAACTAAATGTATTTATTAATCTGGTTCACAGCAGATAAATGTCAACTTACTTTCCAGAGGCAAGGATTTCCATGGGTGATTTATCTTTTATTGGACTAGTTGCACAGTAGGGAGAAACTTGGATAAGCTTTTCAAAGTCCCTGAAGAAGAATACATTACATTCAAAAGCATGTCTAAGTCCATCCCTATCATGCAGTTGTCCAATGAAAGATGCTATCCACAGAAATCCTTTCCTCTTGCATATTTCCTATACCATCATGGCTATAACACTTACAAAAGTTTAAAGTTCTCTTGTGTGGTGGACCAGTAGGTGGTGCTCCTGCACTGAGCCACCCACCTCACTGTGCCCAACAAAACCAAGCTTTTGATGCCTCCCCAAGGGCTCCAACTCCAGGAAGGGGGTCAGCCAGGAGTACACTCACAACTGCTGCCACCACCTGGTCTTTGTCCAGGCTCTATGGTCCCTGGGGAACACAGCCTTGTAGACCTTGAAGGGTGCTTAACCCACCATGAGATTTTGGGGTGCTTCCTTTAGCCTGAAGCATTCACAGTAGCCTCCCTTAGTCAGCTGAGCGAAGGGGGCTAAAAGGCATACCTAATCCCTCTCGAGCAGTTCCAGCAAGGCTTGATATAACAGACAGCTTTATTGCTTGGAGAGGGTAGGCATGGGGAGAGGGGGTACAAGTCAAAATAAAAATAAAATCCCAGAGCAAACAGAAACAGCTTGTTAGCCTTTTGATATGTTTCTAGAACACTTCATCTTACATCACTAGCTAAAATTCAGTTAAGTTGCTCACAAATATCATCCAGAGGCTGATTGAGGTTCCTCAGGAGGCAAGCACATCTTTTGCATGCGAGTGATTTCCAAGATGTCTCTCCTCTCCTTTCCTCTCCAAGATGGATGGACTCTTAAATTACCTTTCTGACCTCATCCCTTGGCCCTAACCATAAACCAGTATCCTCAGACCACAGCAGATGCCGGTTGGTTAGTTAAAAAAAAGTCAGCACCCTCAGTTGAGAGTTCTTAGGGTTACACAGCATGAGCAAGATCCCCGCCCCCCTCAGGAATTTCAGCCCTGTTACCTAGATGACCAGGTGCATCCAGCAGCCAGAGTTTGTAACTGGGGGTGGGGGGAGGGGGAGGGGGTTTGGGCTGCGACCATACATCGGTGAGACAGCCAGGCAGAGAGGTTGATTCCTCCACATCTTATTACTGTTTTTACTTGAGTCCAAGACCAGGTATTTTTGGCCATTCAACATGGGGGTGGAGGGTAGGGGAAAGCACCTTGTCTTGGATTTTAGTAAAAAGCTGGGAGGTGGGGGTTGGGAGGCAGGGAGTTGCTGCTGTTCTGACTTTGCTTCAAGCCTAGGTCAGGGACAGAGTCAGAGCTGCAGCAGCCACTGTTCCCACCTTACTGTCAGGCAGGGCTAGCTCCACTTCCTCTTGCATATGGAGCACATAGAAGCTCTGGCCTTGGTCTGGTCATGCAACAGTGGCAGTGGGGGCAGCAGCGAAGGTTGCCACCACTGGCTGTTGTATGGCCAGGCTGGGGCTGAAAGTGTAGTGGGGCAGGAGAAGAGAGATGTGGGGGAAAGAAGTGGGGAAACAGGGGCAAGGGGTCTTTTGACCCCTACATGACTACTCCCCCACCACCTACTCTACTACATGCCTCCCTGCCAGTGCTTTTTCTGCTGTAGCAGTGCAGGGAGGGGACAACTTAAAGACACTCCTCTAATAATTAGATTATACACATGGAAAAATATAACCATTTTATAAGTTTTCCATACATAGAATCTAATTCTTCTAAATTCAATCTAAGTTATTCTTAAATTGAAAGTCATTTTGGATTTGAGTAAATATGGTACTTAAAGTTCCTTGGTGCCACCAAATTTGCAGCAACACTAGCAATGATGCTGAAAGTCTTGGGTTGGGTCCCCACATGCAGGGGCATGTCATTATAGGCTGCATCCACACAAGTGTGGACACTTGTTTGCTTTGGGACAACTAGCTGTGGGACACCTCATGCTGCTGCTAGTTGTCCCTAGGGAATACCTGTGCCATATGCCCTCTGGTGCACAGCAGGTTACCCAGGTGTGGTAGGTGAGTCTGGGCCAGCACCAGACTGGCCTCAGCATCCTTGCCTGGGGTTCTGAGGGCCTCTTGAGGCTGCAGCAGTGGCAATCCTGCTGCTCAGAGCCTGGCCAGCATCCAGTGTGGCTTTAACTGGCCAGGTTCCAGGTTTTTTGAGCAGTGCATGCTGCCCTCATGTGTACTGCTCCACTTCTTTTTTCGCATGGGGTGTTTTTTTTTTTACTCCTGGATATCCCCCCCCGCTCCCTTGCAGGGCAGAGAACAGCTGAATGTGTGGTATGTCATGCTGCAGACGTTTCCGTGGTGCTGCATACCACATGGCTGCACTCGTCTGGTAGTGGCTGTAGAGGCAGAAATAACCGCAGCACAAATTTGTGCCACTGCTTTATGCCCCTGCATGTGTGCTTCAGTTTACAGCAAATTGTTTCAGGTTGGGGTAGGGCCCCAGCAATATTACCTGGTGTCCTGGTGAAGCAGGGGCACACATCTGGCCTCATGGAGTCTGGCCAGGAGCCAAAGCATTGCTCTAGATGGCCAGCCCTTTATTTATTCTGGTGAATGCTAGTGATGTGTATTCTGCACCACTTTTTCCCCCCAGAGATTTTTGCTACCAGGATTTGCTGTTAGCAAATTTTGGTACTTGTGTGGTTTGTGGCACCACAAAACTGCTTGTAGTGGCACGAACTGCACACCCCTGCATGTGGGGACCCACCCTTGATTGTAACAGGCAGAAGAGACAGTGGAGACCCAGAAGGCTATTTTGACTTTGTTCTTGCTAGTGGAGATAAAAGGGAGCGCAGGTTATGTTGAGCTGAGATTAGAAGTAGTGTTGATGAAATTGAGAAATGGGAGCAGGATTTTATTGCCGCCATGGTTTCATCTGGTCTTCTTAATCCTCACATACTTGTAGACTCTGTTTATTGTCCTTTATGACCTTTGTGAATTGCATCTCAAATTGTGGCTTGGTCTTACTCATTTTCTCCCTTAATGTCTCTGCAAAACTCTTATACTCTTCCCTAGTACTATGACCACATTTCCACTTTTTGTAGGATTCCTGTTTGAGCTTCAACTCATTGAGGAGATTGCTGTCTAGCCAGGCTGACTTACTGTTGCACTTCTCTATCTTCTATTGCATTGGGATAGCTTGCTCCTGGGTCATTTAAAAGGGCCTCCTTAAAATACAGCCAGTCCTTCTGGACTCCTTTCCTCCCCCCCGACCTGCCTTCTGTGGCAAGTTCCTGGTCCTTGTTAAAGTCTGCTTTTATGAAGTCCAGTGTCCTTATTTTGCTGCTCTCTTACCTTCCTCCCCTTAGGATTATGTATTCTATGAGCATGTCCAGACAAGTGGGGACATTTGACTTCCTAGGGACAAGTGGAAGAGGTGCACCTTAAGCTGCTGCTACTTGTTCCCAGGGCACGCCCATGCCACATGCGCTCTGGCATGTGGCAAGTCACCCTGGGTGGGGTAGAGGTGGCTGGGGCCAGCACTGGGCTGGCCCCAGAAGCCTTACCTGAGGTCCTGGGGGCCTCCTGGGATTGCAGCAGTGGTGATTTTCTGCTGCATGGAGCCAGGCCAGCAGCTGGAGTATGGTCCATCTGTACCAAAACATTAGCCACAACACACTCCAGAAATTTGCTGGACTGCTTGTACACTGCTGAGTTTCCCTCCCAGCAGATGTTCCAATAATTAATGTCCCTCATGAGAACTAAGTCCTGTGATTTGAAAGCTGCTGAGTTTTTTAAAGAAGGCCTCTTCCACATCCTTCTCCTGGTTCGGTGGCCTCTAGTAGATGCATACAATAACATTCCCCCTGCTGGTCTCCCTTCTGATTTTTACCCAGAGGCTTTCAACAAGCCTACTTTGTAGTGCATATCAGAACATGTGTACGTATAGGGCAACACCTTCTTTTCTTCCCCTACTTATCCCTCCTGAACAAGCTATACCCACCCATGACCGTACTCCTATAATGTGAACTATGCCACCATGTCTCAGTAATCCCAATTACATCATAATTCTGTGCTTCTACTAGGACCTCCCAATTCTTCCTGTGTAGTCCCTATATTTCTTGTAGTAGGATATATACACGTTTTGGGTATCTACTTGATGGCTCTGTCTTTTCCCTGAGAACATAGCTAAAGCTTCTGTTACTGTGTCCCCTTACTAATTTTTTTTTTTTATCCACACCCCCAGGCTTTTTATTTATCTCTGGTATTTGGTCTCTATCTCCAGGTGAGCCTGGTTTAATGTTGTCTTCATAAGATTATCAAGTCTGTACGTGAAGACACTCTTTGCTCTCTTTGCTAGCTTTATTTCTTAGGCACATGTAGGTATTTTGTTGTTTTAGTAGTTTTTCACCTATATAACTTCTCAACTGAAATGAAGAGTTAATGACCTATATAAGAAATAAGAATACTTCACAAACCCTTTTGAGTAGGTTTAAAGGGGGGATTTTAGAGAGGATTTTTTTTCTACCAAGAGGGAATGGTGTGAAAAGAGCCATTTTTATATCTTAAGGCAATTCTTTGAAAGTATACCCTAAGTTTAGATGAGACCTTTTCACATACTAAAACAATAATATCTTGGCCAGATTTAATTTGTTAGGAGGACATGAGTTGATTGATTAGCAAACTGATGGATGAGAGAAGCCATGATCTAAATCTATGATGGTGTCCTCAGGTTGAAGAAGCTGGCCTAATTTGTCATCCTCCTTGGAAACTGAAAGTTATCCAGCTGTTTGAAACGCAGAGAGTAAGGCATGGAATGATGACCCTGGGGCCCAGTGGGGCAGGTAAAACAACTTGCATCCACACACTAATGAAATCAATAACAGGTAGGTAACTATATATACATGAAAAGTAACAGAATAGTTAAGCTAGGAACTTGAAAATGTTGACCTTAACCAGGGAGGTGAAGTGATCTAAGTAATGTAAGAACACAAAGAGACCTTATGGTAGCTTGTAGACTTTTTTTTGTTTCCTGATGCAGGTCTATGGAATAATGATGACTCATGATTGGAAGATTCAGAAGAAGCATCCCATTAGTACAGTGGAACTGTTGAAGTAACCATATATAGTATATGCAGTAGCTTTTGGTTTGTGATCTGCAAAGCAGCAGATCACTGGTCATATTGTAATAATGTAGACTTCTAGATAATACTGTTATTGGAAGAAAAATCTACAATCATAGGGTTGGAAGGACCTCAAGGATTCACCTGCTCCATGCCTTGTTAACCATGTCTGGTTCTCTCAACATTGCATCATAGAACTTGCCTTTCAACCCTTTTATTAATTTTGTTGCCTGTTCTCTAACCTCTCCATATCTTTCTTGAAATAGAGGCCAGAACTATACACAGTAACAGATGAGGCGTAACCAGTGCCAAGCAGAGTGGAACTATCACTTCCCACCTGTTATACCTCGTACTCAGGTTGATGCAGCCCAAATTGCATTTGCCGCCTCTTTTTTTTTGTAGCTGCATTACATGGCTGACTTGCATTGAGTCTGTAATTCATCAGAACCCCAAGATTCTACCCTCTGCACTGCTGTTCCTGTGGCTCCTCCAACTGTGCCTGCCTCTGCCCCAGTGGGGGGAGCCATGGGAGAAGCCTCCATGGCTGCCCCGCCCCAGTCCAGCATGCCGGCCATTTAAAAAAAAAAAAGCCCCACACTCAGTGGCTGCAGCAGTGATGATCGGGGCCTCTGAGGGCTTGTGGCGGGGCCCCCCTGCATAGTGTGGGGCAGTGGGGATTGCCCCCTCTGCTTGGCACCCATGCGGCAGCTGTCACATCGCACGGGTGCAGCGCAACTCGGCAGGGTGCCACTCACCATCTAGGAGCTGGGGCGGCTCCGGCAGTGAGCCGGAGCTCAGCACCGCTGAGCCCCAGTGTCCCCAGCTCCCAGACAGCACATGGTACCCTACTGAGCTGTGCTGCGCCTGCATCATGCTGGATGAATTGAAATGGAACAGAGATCCAAAACACCAAAACGAATTGCTGTCCTCCAAAATGACCGAAACCAAACATTTTGCACAGCCCTAACGTATAGAGCGTTTGTGCTTTTGAATATTCTTCCATAGTAGAGCAGCGTGTTCACAATCCTTCCTCAAAAAATTACTTTGGAGTACAGGTAAGTAACTGAGGTCTAGAGTTTCTGGGGCTGAGGGTTGTGCAGCAGCCCTGACCATGCAAGCTGGCCCAATCTGGCAAGCCACTGCTCAGGCTGCGCTGTGAGTCTAAGATCTCATGCTGGCTCTGGAACCAAGTGCTGGGTCTGACTCAGCATGTGTTCCCAGATCCAAGACATAGGCCTGGACTCAGTATGCCAGGTCTGACCCACCACATGGTTCTGGAGCCAGTGTGTGGGGTTGGACCCAGGGCTGTGTTGTACCTGGCACTCCAGTTGTGGACCAACCCTATGCACCAGCCTGGTCTGGTATGCAGGCTTCTCATGGGTCAAGAAAGGGATGGGGAGAGAGTGGTATTAATTGCCATGGTTCCTGGTCAGTCTCAATACCAGGGAGCCACAGTGGATGGAGAAACTTCCCTGGTCCTGGAGCTGTTCAGCTCCCTCCAGGAGCTTCCCCAAGCAGACTTTTTATACAGCTGCGCAGTAAGTCTTTATAGCATTAATAGCATGTGTTAGACGTGCCCAATGTGTCCTTTCCAAGGTGTGTGAAAACATGTCTCCTAAAAAGCAATTTGTCAATAGAAAATAATGCAGTGTTTTGCATGCTGTTCTAACTCTGTTCAAAAATGTATGTCCAAAGCAAAAAGGCTTTAAAACTATGCATTTGAAGAACCTCTATAGGAGATTAAGCCTTAAAAAGGCTATCCTTTTACACCCCGAAGAAGATAAAGAAACACAGTGTTATACTCTTTTCATTTTTGAAAGCTCTGATAATCACATTTTTGGTGTAGCTAAGACATTTTATACATTGAAGTTAATCTTATAAGTTTGACAGTAGTGAATCACTGGCTATGTATTAGTTTGGTAATTAAGAGTAATTCATGGTGGTGATGAAATGTCAAAGTTAACTCTTATTTAACACTTATAGATTGTGGACAGCCACATCGTGAAATGAGAATGAATCCTAAAGCTATCACAGCACCTCAGATGTTCGGTCGCCTTGATGTAGCAACCAATGACTGGACCGATGGAATTTTCTCTACTTTATGGAGAAAAACTTTGAGAGCTAAGAAAGGTGAAGCGGAAAAAAGCTAACTATTTTAAGCAGTGTTCTGATACTAGTATAAAATTATAGCTGAAATTTGGTAGGTTTTTGTTTTATAGATTAACTGGTGTATAATTCTCTTGCCATTATACAGTATTCCTCTGACCTGAGTGTTTCCATGATTTTCCTAGGTTGGTGGTTTAGTCTTTAAGCCAAGTCATGCTGTAATTCCAAACCCAGATTTCAGAACTCATAGGGTAGCTGCCCTGGGAGGCTTTCATTGTTATGTAGTCCTTCTACAAAACTGCTATTCTTTTGCCTTCTGTCCTGCCTTTGCCACAGAGAGAGAACTACAGACCATTTCTGTCCTCACAGTACTTCCCCTCCCTGTACTCATCTCTTCTTTTAACTACTTTCTGAGTCCAGTTCCGTAGTAACTAGGGTCAGGAGGAACCTGAAAAGATCAACTAGCCTGACCCCCTGCCACAGGCACCCCCCCCCCTGCCACAGGCAGGAATGAATGCTGGGTTCACAAGACCCCAGACAGGTGATCGTCCAACCTCCTCTTGAATATGCCCAAGGTAGGGGTGAGGACCACTTCCTTGGGAAGCTGGTTCCAGATTTTAGCCACCCTAACTGTAAAGTATTGCCTTCTGATCTCCAACCTAAACCTATTTTCCATCAGCTTATGACCATTGTTCCTTGTCACCCCAGGTGGTGCTGAGGAGAAAAGAGCTCTGCCTATTAGCTGTTGATCCCCCTTGATGAGCTTGTAGGCAGCCACCAGGTCCCCCCTCAGCCTCCTCTTGCTGAGGCTGAACAGGTTCAGGTCCCTCAGTCTCTCCTCGTAGGGCCTGTCCTGCTGCCCTCTCACCAAGCGGGTGGTCCTCCTCTGAACCCTCTCCAGGCTGGCCACATCCCTCTTGAAGTGCGGCGCCCAGTACTGGACACAGTCCTCCAACTGCGGCCTGACCTAAGTAATGTCCTTGCTTTGGCGTCATTACGAGCCATGCAGATAACTAATTCCAAAGATGCATCTGCTAAACCCCCAATCTAGGTAGGACCAAATAAGCAAGCTCAGCCTCTGGTTCTGAACGCTCGCTCTATCCATTCAGTTGTGCCTTAGTGCAAAACATATTTGGGATGTGCGTTTTACAGGTACCCGAAAACTTAGTTACTAGGTCACTACCACTCCTGGAGTGATTGGATGAACTGAGGATCTTGCAAGATGAAATTTGAACTGGGCTGCTAGGTGTGCCTAGTGCCTTCTCCAAACATTTTTGCTTGCGGCGGCTTAGTTTATCACCATCAAAGCCTGAGCATTGCTCATTGCCATCTTAAGGCAACTGGCTCTTCTGACTTTGTCCCCCTCTGATCCACACAGCTGCACACTGTCATTATGTGGACATCACACTGCAGGGAAGCAATTCACTCTAACTCATTGTCCTCCCCCCTATTACGAGAAGCTCAGATATAAATGTAACTCTCCCAGAGCTTGGACTTCCACATTTGTCCCACCCTTTATGAGCTAGTGATTCTTCATGCCACAATCCAGAGACTGCTTCACTCCTTGAGAAAACAGGGACTTTCCTGCAAAAGTGTTGCAATGTCTACCCAAATTGTTCACAAAGGCTATGAAGTGTTTCAGAGGAACACTAAATGTATAGCTTTGAACTCCCTCACAATCCTGAAATCCGGCTATTCAGAATATTATTTTCTCTCCAATTAGGGATGTGAATTGTTAAACATTTAAACGTTCACATATTGATGACCGCTAACACTTTCTCCTGCTTTAGAGCAGGGTGGAGAGCAGTCTGGTGAAGAAAGGGGGAAAGGGAAGCATGGTGCCCTAGAAGCAGACAGGGAAGGCAGGAGGAACGAGGAGGAGGAGAGGGTGGACCTAATACGGCCAGGAAGCAGTGGGGGAGCCTCAAGGGGCCCAACCCTTCTTGTGGCAGAACAGCCCCATCCCCTTCCCCACCATCTGCCCAAGGTGCACATACACCCACCGCCAGCAATGAGCCAGGCCAGGGCTCCGTGAACCCAGGTGCAGCTGCTTGTAGCAAGTTCCATCTCTACCTTGGCCTTCCTAATAGCCCTCCTACATTCCCGGGCCGAGGAGGAGTACTCCTCCTTTGTGATAGTTCCTCCCTTCCATTGGTTATACACCTCCCTTTTAGTCCTCAGGCATTGCTGAATGTCCTTGCTGAGCCAAGGGGGTTTCTGAGCACTCTTACCCCCCTTGCTTCTCTCAGGGACTGTTATCCTTTGGGCCTGGAGGATCACCCCCTTAAGGTACGGCCATCCCTTGTGGGCTCCCATCTCCTCTACCTTCTGGGCCCTTAGTACCTCCCCCACTAGTCTCCTAAGCTCATTGAAGTTGGCCCTTCTGAAGTCAAGGGCTTTAGCCTTGGTGTGAGCCCTGGACGCCCTGCGTTGGATAATGAATTCCAGCAGGTGATGATTGCTATTGCTCAGGTGGTCAAGGACCTGCAGTCCCCTCACCGGGTCATCCCCCGTGGCCAGGACCAGGTCCAGCAAGGTGTTACCTCTAGTAGGGCTGTGCACTTCCTGGATAACGTGAAGGTCCTGTAATACAGCCAGGAACCTATACAAGCGGTCAGACCTGGCTGTAGGCTCTTCCCAGCAAATGTCTGGGTAGTTTAGGTCACCCATGACAATAACATCCCTTGACCTAACCGCCTCCATAAGCTGACTGGAGAAGTCCTGGTCTAGCTCTTCCCCCCTGGTTGGGTGGTCTGTAGTAGACACCCACCGTAAGGCCCCTTTTGCCACGTCCCCCTTGTAGTTTTACCCATAGTGTCTCTGCCCGACCCTCCTCTAACCCACAGCTAATCCTTGATGATGTGAGGTGCTCTTTGACATAGAGCTCAACCTGCCCCCCCCCGCCTTTTCCTCTCTGTCCTGTCTCTTCGATATAGGGTGTATCCCTGAATGCCCACCACCCAGTCATAGGTAGGGTCCCACCAGGTTTCTGTGAGCCCTACTAAGTCTGGGTTCTTACTTGCAATCAGGAGGCATAGTTCTTCCTGCTTACACCCCATTGCATAGTTCCTCCTGCTTATACCCCATTTCCTCAAAGTATAACAGTGTCTGGCTAACAGCCTCCATTAATTCTTCTTATCTGAGTCCAATTACTGTACAGGCCCATCTGGTTCCTCAGCTGATGTTATGTTGAAGGCTTGTCTCTCCCCCTTTTAGGACTAGCCAGCCTATGATATGATATAGAGACTTGAGTTTGCTAATAGCTTCTCTGTGAGGCACTTGGTTGTGCTGGTGGTGAACAAGATCTTGTAGAAAATTAAGTTCAAATAAAGCAGGAGGAATGTCTGGAATAAACTTCACTGGGAGTTCAATTAGGCCTCTGAACATTAGTATTGAGGATACATTTGGCTGGGCTGGAATTTTTGTTTTGCAGCTCTGTAGTAAAACTAGGGATACTACATTAATAATTGAGTGCTTGTTTCATTTGGAGTTAAGTTAATGGGATTGTGGTGGTTCTAGGTAGTTCCCACTGCATGAGAATGCCCCTCTTCCAATGAATCAGCAAATTGGTAGGATAAGGTTATTGTTTTTCTGCAATGAAAACTTGTTCCATGAGGGTGCCCCACACAAGAGAATGCCTCTGCTTCTGCCAGTCAGCTGATTGGGTAGGGGAGATTTGCAGGGTAGGGTACCTACAGAGCAACCTGACAGCTTGCTCTTAGATGGGTCATTTAGAGAGCTAGTGCTCTCCCTTCTTCCCTTGCTCTTGAAGGGAGATCAAAGGACTATGGGATATTGGGTGTCCTCCACAACTGAGAGAAGTATACAATTGTTCATGTAAGATCAAGAGGGAGATATTCCTGGTAACTATCAGACCAGTTTTCTTCCACAAGAAATCTCTTGAATTGCCATATGCTTTTTTTTTTTGTGCTGGCAAAAAGATCCCAGTTCTATATCACATATCATTACATTCTTTCTCTACATCTACCCAAAATATAGTAACTAGATGAGTTCCAACAATGCATATTTTTTCAGAATTGGCACACAATACCCTGCAAAATGCAATGCAATGAGATGAAAATAGGCTTTGATTAATACATTCTTGTTCTTTGGTTTATAGGTGAGCACATCTGGATAATTCTTGATGGCCCTGTTGATGCAATTTGGATTGAAAATCTGAATTCTGTACTGGATGATAACAAAACCCTCACGCTGGCTAATGGAGACCGTATTCCAATGGCACCCAACTGTAAAATAGTCTTTGAACCTCATAATATTGACAATGCTTCTCCAGCCACAGTGTCAAGGAATGGCATGGTTTTTATGAGTTCATCCATTCTAAACTGGAGCCCTATTCTAGAGGTACAGTGAACAAGTACTTACTAAGTTATTTATTACAAGGATAGAAATCTATCGCATAGGTTTAGTTTTATGTAGAAGAATGGTAACTTTCAACTGACTAGTCTTCATGATATCCATTTGGGAATAGAGTTAATCAGTTCATTGATTTAGCTGGAATACACTATCCTATCCAATTGTTATTGTGTTTGGACAAATTGAAATTGCTGTTATGATAAACTATATCCCATGTGGTATTATGCAATATTGAAAAATCTAAGTTGTAAGCAGTTTGTGCAGAACAAAAAAAAATCTTTTTAAAAATCATTTGCCAAAGGTTTAAAAATAGGAATAAAAAATAGGACTCCTAAACATTTTTGTCAATCAAATGGGCTGACTTATCAGATACATAAAAGAGTTAGGAGCTTCTTGGATCTAGGAGGAAACAGTGTCATGTAGCATCAGAAGATTTTGGTTATGGCATCACTTATGCTAAAATCCAGGAACTTGCATATAATTAGTTAGATGAATTCAGAGGATAGTCTATAATTCAACTTTCAAATCAAGGTAAAGAGAATTCTATTATTACCTATTAAAGGATTATTAGAGCAATCGGGAGACGGGGGCAGTCAGCCTTCCGAATCAGAAAAGTTCAAGCAAAGTTAAGTAAAATTCAAAATATCGTGCTTTTTGCAGCATCACAGAACTGTCATGCATTCAATTAAAAATAAGGTCCTCAGGCTTAAGTGTCCATGCAGAGCATAGGCAGACAAGGTACAAGGTTCTTTGTGTGAATCTCATATCTCTTATTGGACCAAAAGATATCAGATTCACCCAAAGAACCTTGTCTTCCTGTGTCCTTAGACCAACATGGCTACAACCTACACCCCTGTAACATGCAGACCATGCCTCTTATGAAGACTTCACAGGAGAGCTTCAGGGAACTATTTAAAATGTAAGCAATTATGTATATCACGTGTGTGTGTATATATAACCTATTTTTCCTGTTACCTAATGTAACTGTTGACTACTTTGTAGATATTACATTAGGAGGTAACACTTGTCTTGGACAAACATTTATTTAAGTATTCAAGCAGCTGAGTGCTGGTGCTTCAATCCTTACATATTGAGCTACCAGAGCAGAAAAAACCCATTACTTTAACTTTGAACTAGTTAAGAGTTTTAAAGTTAAGACATCATCAAAATCAACTAAACTGATGCAAAAGTAGATGTGGTCCAACCCATATAGCTCCAGCAAGTCTTAGCATCTTCAAGAATGTGTATTAAGAAATATAATGCAAACTGGAAGTCAAGTCACATAAAGAAAATAACTTCCACTACATATGGAAAACTAGTCAAGAAAAATATACACTATTTGCTTGAATAGCATTTCACAGTAGCCTTATTGATAACTTAATTCTTTAAACTGTGAGCATCCAGGAGTGAATGCTCTCTTCAAGCATGTTAAGGAAAATAACTACTTTATATTGGTAATTAAATAGAAATGATGAACATAGAATTTATTAGACTGGGGATGAGTTGGGATTCATAAAAAGGTGCCTGAAGAAAAAATCAGACTTGAGCAGTAATTCTGTCATCAACTGCTGTTATAGGGAAAG